CCTCCTCCGTCCTCCTCCTGCCCTGCCCCTGCCCCTGCCCCTGCCCCTGCCCCTGCCCCTGCTCCTGCTCCTGCCCCTGCTCCTGATCCGGGCCTGAAGAATTTTCTCACTTGAGAACTGAGGGGAATGCATGGGGGTGGGGTGAAAAATTTCACGGGGTAGTAGGAGGATTGTGCATCAGATTGATTGAAAAGGTGGGGTGAAAGAATATTTAATAGGGGGGTGATATTAGAGAATGTCATTTGACTGGGGTGGGTAGTAACAAGTAGACGGGTTTTGAAAGAAGTGGGTGGTGGTTAGGGCGTTGAGCCGTTGAACGGTTGAAAGGGGAAATTGGGGTTAGGGTGGAATCAAGAAAGGGGGTAGGGTTACCGGTAAGTACAGGGTAGGGGTCAAGTCACTTTCTGGAAATTGATGAAGGTATGTCTTATTATAGTAAGACATCAATAGAAAAGGACAAAGCTAACATGTAGCTCTTGAAAGGTTGGGATGAAGGGGTAGGTACAGAGAGGTATGATAGAAGGTGCGGTAGTTGGAAGTGGTGGGGGTGGTCGGGATTGAAGAATGGCAATGCACGACAGCAGAGGGACAGCGAGTGGGGGGTGAAGAGGAGAAGGAGAAGGAGGAGGAGGAGGAGGATAGTGAAGTCCATGATGACATGATGAGGAGAACATTTCATTAACATGCTTGTCACATCGCAAATGTACAAAGAATGAAACAACATTGTATGAAGGGAAGGATGAGAGTTTGAACAAACAGAGAGTTGGTTGGAACCACAGGAAAAGATCCACTGAAGATTTAGAGAGAATGCTGCAATTTCCAGGAACAGGAAATCAATAACGTGAAGTCAAGACATCAGAGAAAGTTCGACCACAGACAGGGAGGGGGGAGGAAAGCGAGTTAGGCGGGTGGGAAGGAGAACGAGGCTGGATGAGTAGGATCATACGAGCATACTGAAACTGATGCAACCATGTTGTTGAAAATGAACTAATGCTGCATTGCGACAGAATGGATTCAGATACTCTTGCTACAACTTCCGAGTTGCTTGCAGCGGCTTCAGGATTCTGCTTGACTGTAGAGCAAAGGGCCTTGCTACCATCAGCGCTAAAGATCCTGAAGAGTGAACATGCTTTCGCAAAGTGATCACACTCCTCTCCTCCTGCTTGACTGGGTCATGACGGAGTTTGTTCAGGGTGTATTATTGGGGAAAGATACAAGGGCTATCCAGCGATTACCTGATTGCTATGGGGTTGGGGTCGAAGGAGATTAGCTACAAGGACGAATCATTGAAGACCTGCGGAGAGATCACTGTCGCTGAGTTTTTCGACACCTTGAAACTCTTCAAGAAGAAATTCTTCCGACTGGGGTGAGTTGAGATGATGTTGATCTCTGCTTGCTGAGATTCCAACCATGACAGGCCGGACGGGGTGAGTTGGACTGTCTTGCCGGATGTAGATGAAGAAGTGAAGAAGAAGTGAGGAGACGAAGAGTGCGCTGGAGACAGTGACTGTGTGAGTGGTGCAGGTACAGCGAGTGGAGCAGCTCGCTGAAGAAGAAAGGGACTGTGTTCACGCCGCTCAAGGGAGACGCAAGCCATAAGTACGAGTATACTGTCGGGGAGGAGACGAAGGAGCTTTCAGAGGACGAGAGGGTAGCCTTCATGGTGCAGGAGATCGACGAGGAATGCAGGTACATGCGCTTGTGGGTAGTTGCCATGGAGGAGGAAGGGAGGGAGGAGGAGGGGAGAGGATGGGGAGGAAGGGGAGGGGGAGGGGGAGGAGGAGCTTCAGGGAACTTATCCCCATCCTGCAGTGTTGTCCCCGTGGGATCGTTCGTGCTCAATTCGTCGCAGCGCGTCATTGTGAACCCTTACTACAAGGGCCTTGACCTTTCAGCCGCCGTCCGGCTAGATTCCTACATGCATCTCAGAAAGTGAGCCTGTTGTCTCGAATCCATTGCACTCTTTGTTCTCCTCCCTCTCCTCCTCCTCCTCCTCCTCCTCATCATCATCATCATCATCATCATCATTATCAACTTCACCATCATCATTATCACCATCACCATCATCGTCGTCATCATCTTTGTTACCACCACCATCGGCAAAATCATCATCTTTTTGTTTCTGCACTCCTCACGATGCTTTGCAGACCGAGAACTACTCCTGCCCTCCCCGTCGCTGAACGATCAGCATTGAAGAAATCGACGCAGTTCCTCGACTTTGTGAGTTTCTACTCCCCCATCGCCGCCCCATCGCTTTTTCGTCTTCTTGTCCTTCTTACCCTCCCTCCTCATTCCACGCCTTCTTCCTCTCTCCATCCAACTTCTCCCTCCTCCCCTCTCCTCTGGTTCTCGCTGACTTGTTGGATCAGATTGCAAACGATCAGCCCAAGGGATGCTGGTCGCTCAAGCATGACCCTTCCTCCTCCCTCGTCGTCCTCCGCAGCCTCTCCTTCCCGGGCTTCGTCCATTTCAACGCCGTCGACTCGCCCGTCCATGGAGCGATCTACAACGGGACAGGCGCGAGGAATTTCGATTTGCCTTTCATGCTTTGAGAGAGGACAAGGAGGAGGAGGAGGAGGAGGAGGAGGAGGAGGAGGAGGGACACTGGGTTGTAAGGAATAATATAACATTCATGAAGATAGCACT